TTCATTACTAATGTAATACATTATATCAATAGTTTAATATACTGATAGTATGTATTAAATTTTATATTATCAAATAATTTGATTCATAATATTTTTATACATAAAAAATTACCCACTCATTGGTTGTGCAAGAGGTCCAATTAATATGAGCAGTGGTGAAACCCGAAGCGGTATGAAATAATTAAAACATTCCCAAGCAATATGCATAAAACAACAGCGCGCAGCAATTATTTTGACAAAATTAACTACAGTAGAAACTCTTTCAGGACCGGAGAAATTTATTAATTTAGAGAATTATTAATTTATCGATAAATTAATAATTATTAATTTAAAGAGTTTTTAAGTAATTATACTGTACATACCAAATGTACCTGTCAAATGATACACCGGTAATCTTCTCGTATTCTGAGGGCCGAACGAGTACTCCGATCGAATATTTCGGTAAGCTGGGGGTGGAGATACCTGCAGAAGGCACTCCGACGCTCAAGTCAGAATAAGCACAAATATCGATGACAATTAATGAACAGTGACGTTACCTTTTGACGTGAGCTATTTATACTGACATCCATGGGCCCTGGTGTCCTTGGGCCCCGTGACGACTATCGCATTAGGTAATACGTCCTTAATCAGCTTATGGATATGATTATCTCTTAACTCTTGATTAGGGATAATCTTACACTCTTGATTAAGGATCTGAGTTATTATAGTGGCCGATGTCTGATCGACCACCTGGTTCGGCCATCTGGGTGCCGATTAGGTATCGGCAACCTGATTCAGCCATACAAGTGTCGATTGGGTGTCGGCTAACTGGTGACCGAGTGGCCCTACTAGTACACTTGCCCCCTAGCCCTGGGGAAGGTATAGCTTCTTCAAGGGTAAAGCGATGGAGTTATGGCGAATGGGGAGTTGAAGGGTTAAGCAATCTCTACCGTTGAGTCTTGAAGATCAGACGGTTATGCTTTTTCAAATATTCGAAGTTTCCCGCCTATTTCCCTTGCTATATATAGGGATGAGTGGTAGGGCCTCTCCTACACATCACTCTCAGCCGAATCACATTCTCCGAACGAGTTCGAAGAGCTAACCGTGCGCTCCGAGTGAACGTTTCAAGCTTTGATTTTTGGTAAGTTTTGTTCGTATGGTTACTTCTTCTAAGAGCTCTTCGGCCGGTGAGACTCGGTCGTCATCATCCGAGGGGTCTTCGTCCAGGGGTTCGGGGCATGCATGCATGGAGATACCACCGAATGAAGATAGGCGGTCCAGCAATAGTGGGAGTACATCCGAAGAGACTTCGACCAGTGGGAGCCAAGAGACGCCGATTAAAGCGAAACGTGTCTCGAATCGACAAAGATACGGGCCATCCAAAGTGCCAGAGTACGAATGGGTGAATGGCAAGGTAACCTCATACTATTCTCGCTACCGAGATACTTCAATGATTACAAATTTGTTGGAGTACACCAAGTGTTTGAACTTCGATGTTAAAGAGGAGCCGTATTCGATTAGGATTCGGGCTTGCCGAAACAACGCCTTTCCCAATCCCGACCTGGTATGCTTGGACAAACAGGCCGACAGGATGGCGTCCTTCTATATGTACGACTGCCTGTTACGAGATTTGAAGGTTAAGTTGCCATTCGACGAGTTTACGATGGGGGTACTTAGGGTTTTGAACGTAGCGCCGACCCAACTTCACCCGAATAGCTGGGCTCAACTTCAAGGCTTCAAGCACTTGTGCCGATGTGTGAACATTAGACCTTCACCATTACTTTTTCTCTATTTCTATTCTTCGCGGCCTTCGGATTTAGCCAAATGGGTATCCCTTAACCGAGTGGGGACTCGGCAGCTCCTGGATAGTTTTACCTCATCATATAAAAATTTTAAGGCTGGATTTTTTCGAGTAACCATTCGTCCGAATGGGCGTCGTTTCTTCTTCGGGAATGACGAGAGGAGTTTATTTCCTTTGTACTGGACGCATGCCCCTCGGCCATATGATGAGGTGCCGGACGAGCTTCTCACCGCCGAAGAGCTACGAGATATACAATTTTTGCTTAAATTGCCTCGGCGCTTGCCGACGAGGTCACTAATTAATGTAGTCGAATCACCCAGATGGGAGAACGACTTGATCGGTACGTGATTTGTCCCGTTTTTGCCTTAAGCTAAATGCATATTGATGTTCACTTGAATGTTTTTTGTAGGAATCATGGTGGTGGCTGGCGCTAATCAATTCAACATTCGGAACTTACTAGCTGGCCGAATGCAGCATGCCAAAACTTCGGGGGCTGTAGGTAGCTCGTCAATTGCCCAGACTCCTCGGCCAGAGCAGGATAACCGAAGCCCTCCTTCTCCGACCCGTAAGCAGAAGAAGGGGAAGAAAGGGAAGGGAACTGCTCAAGAAGGTCACAAGAGGAAAAGTGCCGAAGAGAGGCCTGAGAAAAGCAAGAAATCAAAGCAGACCGTGGCTTCTCCCGACGGAACTATAATTTGTGTGCCTCCTGCTTTGATGTCAAGGAACTTCTGGGGCGAGGGTGCTTCGGCCGACTCTCTGATTCGGCTTGACAATATTTCAGAGGAAACCCGAGAGTCCTTGGGGCAATTGGATGTGGCTTCAAAATGGAAATACTATTCCGAGGTACAGTCTCGGTCCCTAGTGCTTGCGCATCAACTTGCCATGGGTCCGGTCGGCGAGCTGATGCAATTGAGACAAAGGCTTGGGGATGCCAAAAAGACAACGGCCGAGGCCATAGCAACGGCCGATGAAGCCCTTGCCAAGACTCGCCAACTTGCTGCCGAACTAGACGTGCAGAGGCGCAACAACGACACTCTTCGGCTGGACCTTCAAAAGGCAACCAACGAAGAGCAGCGCCGAGCAGAGGAGGCCAAGGCCGAGTTGGAACAATTAAAAGAGGAGGCGCAAGATCGCATCGTCGCCCAGCATGAAGCCAGCTTTCGGCATGCTCTTCGCCAGGCTAGGTACTTCGGTCGCTTTCGGGAAGGTTTTGAGTTTGACATGACTAAAGACTTTTACCAGGGGTCTTTCATGTCTTTCCAAGATATGCCCGAGGGAGCCATCCCCGATAGCGATGAGCCGACTGACTACCCTGAAGATGAAGACCCCCACGATGTTTTGGGTGATGAGGTTGAGAATGAGCAAGAGGAGCCGAACCAAGACCAAGAGGACGAGCCTGAGACACAAGAGGATGCTCCAAGCCACCCCGACGAGTGATCATTGACTTTATTTTTATTTTTTTTATTTTTTTTGTAGTAAGGGCCGATAGAGCCCTCATTGTATCTCAGGTCGATAGAACCTGCCCTTTTTTGATCAATGAAAAAGAAAATGTGTTTGCGTACCGGAACGATGTTGTATGTTTTTAACTTCGAATAATTTAAGCAAAAACTTTAGCTGAATTGAATATCCCATACTGCGTGTTAATCCAAAACCGAAGGAGATCTTTTGAGATGGTTACCTTCATGGGAACAACACCGATTGGACTCACTTGGAAGCGCGTACTTTTGGCTCAATACCGAATGATTGGGGAAAGGTACTTTTTCAGAACCTATGCTGAATGGACTCATTCGGAAGAGCTGAC